TTTGAAGACAGTTTCTGAGTTCATCGTGTCAAGATGAGTACAGTGATGTGCATCTCATTGCAAATGGCCAGGCTGACCTGTTGACCTTTCCTGGTCAGAGAATCTGATATCGTCTACTGGAGGGTGTCTTACCGTCCAGAGGATGGAAGGATGGGTTGGCCTGGGCGGGAGCCGATCCAGGGTTTGATCCTCGGACCTTACGCATGGTAAGCGTGCCACTTCCCACTACACCACCTCGACCATAGAGAACAAACATAAGCCGCCTAGAATGGGGTTCAGGCGCGTCGCTTACGCACAGAATGCGCGCAACATCTAGTATGACTATTTTACCTCCCACAAGACTGGCAACAACATGCAGCTCTCCAGCACCATATCGACATATTTCGGCTATAGCATGCTGTGGCACTTGTGACATTATGGATTCTGGATTTTCCACCTGAACACAATATAATACTAGCAAAAGAGTAACACGATTGCAGACCCTATGACTTACTCGCGATGCTGTAATGATGGAAATAACTCGTTGCTTGAGATCGAGTGCATCAATTGTACACGGAACTCCGTTCGTTCCTGGATATCTGAACACAACCCCTTCCTGTACTCACCAAAAAGTGCATTGATTAGAAGCCTATCACAAATTATCTACTCTCGGCGAAATGGCCAACCTTCCTTTCTCTCGATGGAATTTATCGGCAGCCCTCAGGAGTAAGAACCATACTGCAAGTGAAACACTTCCATCTTCTTCTGATGAGTTTGCAATTCCACTCAGTAAGTCCTTAAAAATTGGAGTCACTCGTGAGTAATATTACAGCGAAGAATTGATGAGTGGACATCAAAAAACGCTGAACATTCAGTGAACAAAGTCGAGAGAGCGCAGAAGAGTTTTGAATTTAGGCTCTATTCATGCAATCAGGCTCGATTCTTAATATGTCCCTCTTAAGACTCATGATTCGAGCACGAGGAGATGCGCGATTGTAGTCGCGATCGCGAATGTAGTGTAGTGTAGTAGGACGGCCCACAAGAAATGTCGTTTTTCTTATCGCAAAATTCCGCATGGAAATGAAATGTTTGTTTCGCCTGGTTTCTCAGTCATTATCCCTGCAAAGGAGACAGCTCGGGAGGCCAGCTAGGGCAGCCTCTTCCTAATGATGCGAGCCAAGGACAGCATCACTGGTGGGATAGACCGCCTTGGTCGGATACACGTCCCTCACACGCCCTCTCGTTTGCAGGAATAAATAGCACATAAGGCCAGGCAAAATTATGGAGCACGGTTCACATAAAAATAACAAATATAGATTCAATCTGCCCATAAAAAATTGGCCATTGTCTTCTTGTTGTCCT